AGGCCAGCTCAAAGTCGGCGAGGGTTAGCCGCGCCTCGCTCTGCCGTCCATCGTGCGCGTGGGACGAGCTGAGGAAGACCTCAAGCGTGAGCAGCGCGTGGCCGACGCGGAAGCCTGCAGCTTTCATGCAGTCAAGCGCGTCCGCAAGGCTCAAGGCTCGGCGCTGCGAGGTCGGCCTTCTCCGCAGTGACGCGCAAGTCCGTGTGGAGAAGGAGGCCCGGCTGCAGCGCGTTGGCGAGAGCCATGTACCTGTGACGAACAGCCACCAGAGTGAACCAAGTGATGCTCAAGACTCCTTCCTCTCGTTAGGGGCATGCACGTCATGAAGGCGTTGCTCTTGCCCGCCACCACCGTCCAGCCGCCAGACAGGATGCGCATCATCTCGGCGGGTTCGAGGACAGACACGAAGCAAGACCTACCGTAGTTCCATGCCCTCCTCGCCAGCTCATCACTCGCCAGGGCTCGAGGAGGCCGCGACACGGAAGCGAGACCGGCCGGCGGGGACGTACGTGTCCCCCTCGAAAGTGCCCCCCGCGAAGGACGGGTCGACACAGCGCGGCGTGTTGGCGGCGCACGACGCGGAGAGCGCCGCCGCCGCCGCCTCCTCCCCTGAGGGCGTCGCGAGGTCGACGCCGGCCAGAGGGCAGCCGTCGGCGAGGCCTGGCGCACAATGATGTGGTGGCTCAGTCGGCCACCTCGGGGCGTCTGTGAAGTGGGCAGAGCCACGGCGGGGACCCGAGACGACAGAGTCGGCGAGCAGAAGCTCCGCCTAAGTTCGTAGCCGGTTCGCACCGAGTCAAAGGGGCGGATTCACGAGGCGCGTGTGGTTTGCAGCAGAGCTCCGCCTCCGCCTCCGCCTCCGCCGCTAGCCCGAGCGCCGGCGAGCAGCGGGCGGGCGCACGCAGCTGGCAGATACCGAGGGAGAGGACGAACCCGCCGCACGAGCCGCCTACTCTCCATCCCTCGTGCGTCGAGGCAACCACTACTGCTCACTGCTAGTACTACTCTGTTAGCCTGACTGCTGGCACCACTCCCGGCAACTGCTGCTGCTGCTACTACTACTACTCCTGCCACTACTACGACTCCTTGCCTGACTGCTGGCACCACTCCTGGCAACTGCTGCTGCTGCTACTACTACTACTCCTGCCACTACTACGACTCCTTGCCTGACTGCTGGCACCACTCCTGGCACTGCCTCGCAGACGGGGAGGCGCCCGCGGGCAGACGGCGCGCCAGATCGGCCCGCGCGACCGCGGGAGGCCACCACCCCTCGTCGACGCCTCGCGCCAGGACGGACGCCTGCGCGACCACTGCGGTGCGCTCGCTCCTCGCGCAGCTCCGGAGGCCTCCGCCGTACACGAACCCTGCCGCGTGGCACGGCCTGCCGCTCGCTGCGAGGGCGACGGCTCGCCGCGCGGCGTCCACCGCTGCCGAGTCGGCGAGCAGCCCGGTCGGAAACCGCACGCCCAGCCGCGAGCCGCACGCGCGCGCCCCAGACGAAAAGCCCGCCTCGCCGGCCGGCTCGTCGAGCGGCGCCGGACGCGGCTCGTCGGCGCCGAGAGCGCCCATCAGGAGGCAGCGCGTGTCGCCGCGCGCAGCGTGCGTCCAGACCTCACAGCCCGGCGTCAGCTGGCACAGCTCTCGGCACGCGAGCGGGCTGCTCACTCTCCGGTCGCCGTGAGTGAGTGCGACCGGCGACCAGCGCGACGCGTTGGCGTAGCAGGCGCCCGCGCACGCCATCCCGATCAGGGGAGCGTACGCGGACGCGCCGAGGCGCACATCTCCGTACGGCACGAGGAGGTCGTTGGGACAAGAGGCGGCGACCATCTCTGGAGCGTCCTCTGGAGGGAGCCGCCCTGGACGCCGTGCTATCTCATAAAAAATTCCCTCGCGGCGTGCCACCAATGGATGCCGTTTGCGCTGCAGCGACTGTCGGTGGTGCAGCTCTGGACGGCGCTCGCGGACGGGGCGCTTGGTGCGGCGTCGCGCGGCCGCGAGGTACCGCGGCAGGAGGCTAGCGGGATGGGGGGCTCTAAGGGGGGAAGGGAGCGGGGGGGGCGCCCATAGCCTCGCCGGCTCTCTTGCCAGGCATGCAACGTTGTCGATTACTTCCACCACGGCGGCGGCCAGAGCGGCATTCCTGAGGGCCACAACTACTTGTGCGACAACATCAAAGTGGACGGCTATCTGGAGATCACAACTCCGTCCGCCGGCTGCACGCTCATCACGGGGCTGCGAGAGGGGACTGGCGACGACAATCCCGCGACGTGGGACGACGTCGTCGTCGAAGCCGACGGCGAGTTCACTTGCGAGGACTACGACGTGTGCCCAAGCAGCGGCGTCTCCGGGTTTGCTCGGGGACCGGGCGACGGAGTTGTCGACGTACAGACGTGCGCCACGGATGGCAGCGAGGGGGCCGGCCTCTTCCCCTCCAGCACAGACATCAGTCCGTGGCTGCGCGGGAAGCCGATGCGCTACACGATGCCCAAGTTTGTGTGCTTCACGTACGCGGCCGGGACGAGCAGCTTTGAGTTGACGTATCGCGTCGGGCCAGGGGTAGGCGCCCCTCACTACGGCCGCAACTTCTTCTTCTCGGGCGCGAGCGTCATCGCCCAAGACGACGCCTGCGCCGACAGCCGCTAGAGGCCTGGTTTGGGACGTCGTCCCGTGGCTCGTCTTCCACGAGCGCCCTCGGGCCCGCGTCGTAACTTTAGAGGAGCCCGCAAGGGACACGGCCTTCTTGGTCCGCGGGATGTGGACCCATTTCAAGCCCATGACACAATTTGCATGTACATGTACATGTCATGTTGTTGCTGTACGACGGTGTTACGCTATATGTGCATGCGTGCGTACTTCTTACCCACTGGCTTTATATCCATCTTGTGTGTTACTCTTCTCTTGCCAACTGGCCAGAGTGCGATTGTGTGTGTGCGGGAGTTGGTTTGTCGGGAGGGAGGGGCAGGCTGCTCACCCACGTGCACCGGGCCAGTGCTTGCACTTTGAATGCCGTGGGGCTCCTGCCCGTGTCCGGGTGTGGAGATGCGAGGGTCGCCCCCCCTTGCCCCACCACTTTGTGTGTGTGTGGAGAAATTTACCTTACCTTATACGTTACCAACCGTCTTGTAGCTGCTAGCTCCGGGGCCCGCGCCCTTGCGGCCTTGGCGCGGCGCGCGGCTCGGTGGCTTGTGGCTTGAGAGTTAAGACATTTTTTGATCTCGGTCTCGCTCAGGCTCTTTTTTTCCACGTCACACGACCGACGCAACACCCCGTCACACGTTTACGTGTACGTAGTCTCGCTTTCTCTACGACGGCTCCACCGCCGGTCTGATGGGCGCAGTCGCCGGCGACAACACTCCGTGCCGCACTAGCTGCCGCCTGACGAGGCGGGAGGCGAGCGCGCGGCCGTAGGGGATATAGGAGAGCATGTACCACGTGAGTGCGGCGAACTGGAGGAGGATGAAGAGCAGCGCGAGGATGGCGAGCCGCAGCCAAAAGATGGAGAGCAGCGTGCCTAGTCCCAGACTACTAGTCGTGGAATGAAGTGAGGCGAGGGACGGGGGAGGGGGAGAGCAGGTGGGCGAGCGGAGGAGAGAGAGCAGCGAGCCTGCGAGCGTGAGCAGGTAGGCGAGCGAGGCAGCACGCCGCTCCTTTGCGAACATGGTGCGGCACTGGCGTGCCGGGCCGACCAGGAAGGAGGAGGCGCCGAGCGAGAGGATGTTGCCGAGGGTGTACTTGAGTGCAAACGGGACGGGGTTGCCTGGCGTCAAGCAACACCAGTTGAGGTTGCCAGCATGTCGTCGAACGCAGGGCGGAGCAGGGGCAGCAGCGGCTTGGCGAAAGGAGAGGAGGTGTCTCGGAGGTATCTCGGAGGTGTCTCAGGGGTGCTCAGAGGTGTCTCAGAGGAGTCTCAGAGGTGTCTCGGAGGTGTCTAGCAGGGGCTGCCGAGCAGCAGCTTGGCAAAGGAGAGAAAGGAGCCGAGCGAGAGGAGAGCGCCTGCTCAGCTCCCGAGGTGTGAAGGGGCACCGGGTTCGAGCTGGGTAGAGCGAGGCGAGGAGAGGGGCCGATGAGCATGCAGCACGCACAGCCGATCAGCCGCTGCTTGTAGCTGAGCGCCGGGCAGCACGGGCACACCTTCATCGACACCAGCTCACCTCTCAGCGTTGAGACATGCAGCGATGCATTTGGCCAGGGCTGCACTGGGCCAGGGCTGCACTGGGCCAGGGCTGCACTGGGCCAGGGCTGCACTGGGCCAGGGCTGCACTGGGCCAGGGCTGCATCGGCGCGCCTTCATCGGCGGCTCCTGCTCCATGCCAGGCACAGAGAGCCCGCTCGCAGACGCAGCGGCGGTCAGCGCGCCTAGAGGGAGCTCAGGCATGGTGTCGGACCGGATCCCGACCGCGTTGAGAGCGCGAGCCGCTCGGCCAACCTCCCGCGCCCTTGGCTCCCTCTTTGATCCGGCCGACGCCGCTCGAGCCGGCCGCGACGGCGGTGCGAAGTCCCTCGGCGCCCCTCGTCTTGGCCTGCCGCGCGCCGTCCATGCCCTGGCTCAGGCCCGACTTGCCCGCCTCGCCCAGCTGGCCCAGGCGCGAGCCAAAGTAGCCGAGGGAAGGGAGCTGACTCAGGCCGGAGTTGAGCCGGTCGCGGGCTCCGCTGACGAGGCTCCGCTGCTCGCTGTCGGCGTCGGAACCGGACTCGCAGCCCGGATCGGGACCGCCCTCGGTGCTAGGCGCCTCGAGGCGGCTCCTCGCCGTCTCAGCAAGCGCGGCCGCCCGCTCCTTGATCTTTGAGACGTCTATGCTCGCCGCCTTTTGGCGCGCGCTCTCGAGCGAGCTCTGAGCCTCGACCTGCAGCGCTAGCGCGCGCGCCTTCAGCCGGTCCTTCAGGCTCTCGCTCATGGGTGGCACTGTGAGTTGTGTTCTAGGTCTGTTGTTTGCAAAGCAAGACGCAGCGCTGTGACTTATGCGGGGGCGTGCAGCACGGGAAAAAATCCGCGGGCTCATTGGGATAGCGGCCCAACTCGTGATACCGGGTCGTAGGCCACTAGTTTCCCGCAGGTCGCCCGCTCGCTGCTCTGATGAGCGCGGCTTCCGCTGCTCTCTCCTTCACCTGGCCCTGACGCCGCTCCTCGTCCTTGGCCGCGCCAGGCTCTCCTACTGCGCCAGCCCTTCGGCTGCACCAGTTCTTTCTTCTGGGATGTCAGGGATTCTGCGTAGCCCTTCCTGGTGGAGGCGCGCGCGATTCCGTGACTCTTCTTTTACGCGCCAATGTACCCTCGAACGAAGGTTCAATCCAATTTTTCTTTTTGCGGGGGCCCGCCGCTTAGGCTAGGACTCAACATACTCGGGCTTTCATCCCAAGCTGTCACTCCCCTTTCTCCCGGCCGAGGTGGGGCGCGCGCGGGGGCGGCGGGTGTGCGGGATGTCTGTGGGCCCGAGAGCGATATGCCATGACCCATGTCCGCCTTGCGTTTGTTTTCATAACATCGAAGGCTAAGCTCAAAAAAAATACTTTGCGTTCCGGACTTGCTCCCCGTCGCGGCGCGCGATATGGATCTGACCACGCTGCCGGACGAGATCCTGACTCAGGTTCTCCTGTGGCTCGACGCCCGGCAGCTCGCGGCGTCGGCGCTCAGCGCCCGCTTCATGGCACAACGCGTCAGCGCCGCGGCAGAGGCGCGAATGGAGAGGCTTGGCTCGGCATGGCCCACGCTTCTGGAAGGGGAGATCCCAAGCTGGTCCTTGCGAATCGTGGAGACGCTCGGGCGGCGCGGCACGATGTGTAGGTACCTCATCGACGGGCCGGTGCTGCTGCTGCATCACCGCCCATCAAGCACAACGCTGCACCTCGCGGCGTGGGGGCACGCTCTCCAAGCTTGTGTGACGATCGGGCGCCAAGGGGCTGTCCACTCTGCTTTGTTTGCGATCGAAGACGTCCTGGCCCCTCCGGCGCTGTACAGCTTCCAGCTGGCGGCGGAGGACAAGAGAGCCAAGCATGAGCGCGCCGCCGCGGGCTCGCCGCTCGAGCTGCTAGTGCGCAAGACGGCTATCGACAGCGAGGCTGCGCGTCGCATTGGGTGGACCGTGCGAGGCGACGGGGTTGTCGTCCTTGAGACGATAAAGTGCGGCATCTTCGGCGGCGCTGATTCAGTCGGTGAGGCGGCCGAGGGCAGTGAGGCGTGCACGAGGGCCCTCGGCGAGGTGGCCGAGGATGGCTTCCGCCTCACTGCGGGTGGGCCGCCGCTTCAAGATCTCCGGACGAGCCCAGGGAAGCTCACGACCTTTCATGGCAACTTTCATGGGGGCGCTTTCGCCACGATGACGACCACATTACCGCCGTTCCCTGTCGCCTTCCCCATCTCCGCGACCGGTGAGGTGGACCGAGACGTGCGAGCCGCAGCTCGCACCATAGCCGTGGAAAGCGGTGCCGCGCTCCATTCTGCCCTCGCTGCCCTAACTTAGGGCAACGACGTGTGTGCTCAGCTGTTTCGGCTAAGTCGATTTGTACCGGATTCAATGTTAAAGAAAGAAAGAAAGAAAGAAAACAGACAAACCCAGACGAGGGATGGGGGAGGAGGACAGGGTCCCCACCTGCACGAGCAGGATTTTGGAAGGAGAAGTTTACCTTACCTTACCTTACCTTGGAAGGACGATCAGGGGGACAGGTGGGGCTCTCCTGCTCCTGACAAGGGACACGACAGGCTCGCAGCGCGGATTCAATGTTAATAAATAAATAAATAAAACGGGCACGCAATGTTAGTGCCCGGAAAAGAGCATTGAGTTTTTCTTTTTTATCAAGGGCGGACAGCCACCACTCCCTGCCAAGGAACCCCAACTCGAGCGGTGGTGCCTAATCGGCCGAGGCTGACGGATGGAGGGTGTCTGCGCTGAGCTCGAGCGCGGTGCGGACGCTACTCGCCTCGTGCCACTCACAAAAGCGGTGCTGGAGAGGCGCGACCGAACCCCGACCGTCGAGTACGAGAGGCTGGTCCTCAGCTGTGCCCGTGGGATCGTGAGAGCGCTCAGCGATGCTGCGGGGAGGGAAGCAGGTTCAGCGACGGGGGCGACGAGCGGAGTGGTCGCAGACGCCGAGCTGGCCGTCGAGCAGGTGGCCGCCCTCGCGTCGCTGTTTGACAACGCAGCCCAGTCTCCTCGACGTGGTGGCGGCCAGCCTGACGGCAGTGAGGGCGGCGGCGGCGGCGGCAGCGGCGGCGGCGGCAGCGGCGGCGCCAGCGGCGCCAGCGGCGCCAGCGGCGACACCAACGGCGGCGTCGGCGGGAGCGGCGGGAGCGCCCTGCTGCACTCGCTCGGTTGCGGCGTTGTCGAGGCGGGAGGCGACGGCGCGCTTCTGTCCGCCATCACCGCCTTCACTCCGCACTGCCCCCGGATGCTTCCGGCGGCGCTGGCCCTCCTCGCGCGCCTCAAGCCGCTCGCGCCGCTGCCTGCCACGACTGCCACCACGGCGCTGACCGCCGCTGCCGCCGCTCTCAAGCAGCTTCCGGCAGCCTCTCCGGCGCTGCGCGACCCCGCCGCCTTCGACGCGATCGACGCCTGCCTCGAGACGGAGCTGCCAAAGCTGCTTCCCCGCCGCGAGAGAGGAGACGAGCCCGGCGGCGACGCCGCCTTTCGCGCCTCGCTCGCCGCGCGGCTCGAGCTCATCTCGGCCGCCGTCGGCCGGTCGCCCGTGCTGACCATCCGGCTGCGGGCGGTGCGGCGGCTGGCCGACGGGGCCGTCTCGAGGGCGAAGGGCCTCGCGAGCGTGCCCGCGAGCGAGGGTGACTTGCTCGCCGACCTCGCCGCCGCGGTCTGTCGGGCTGGCGTGCTGGCGGCGCTGCTGGGCCCTCGCGCGCGGGAGTGAGGCGGTGCAGGGGGCGGGAAGGAGGCTGACTGCTGCCGCACGGCGCGAGTAGGCCCCCTCGCGCACGAGGAGGTGCTGCGGCGCGCCGCGCCCCTCTTTGCGCTGCTGCGGGAGCAAGACGCCTCCGCGGCGCAGCCAGGGCCGCTGAGGGCGTTCCTGCCGCCGCTCCTGTCGTGCAGCGCCGCCACGCTGTCTTGTCTAGGCGCAGCTGGAGCCGCTGTGGGCGTCGTGCGCCTTCAAGCCCGCCGCCGTGGCGCAGCAGGCGGCCGTGCTGCTGCGCGACGCGGTCGCCTCGCGCCGGAGATCGACTTCGCCTGCTCGCAATCTCGGCTGATCTCGGCCCCGCCGTCCCCCACGCAGGTCGGGTCTGGCCCGAGGTGCAACGCGTTGCGCGGCGGCCTGCTCGAGGCTATGGCCGACTGCTGCGCCGCGCACGGGGACTGCTCGGTGGTTGGCGCCGCTCCCTCGCTCGCCACCATCGCCCCCGCCTTTGCGAGTTCGCCGGCGCAGCAGCTCGCCCGCCGCTGTCCCTCTCCTCTCCGGTCCGGCTCGGGTGAGCGAGCAGCTGCTGGTGACTCGTAGGCGCCACTCGCTCACCGCTTCACCCTCCTCCTCGTCCGCCTGCTCGCGTCCGAGTCGCTGCCCGCCGCCACCGCCGCCGCCACCACCGCCACCCTCCGAGCCACCCTCGTCGGCCACCTGCGCGCGAGCCCCCTCACCGCCCGCATGGCCGCCGTCTCCGCCGCCTGCCGCCCGCTGCAGCGCTTGTGCGGCATCGCCGTCGCCGCGCCGCCTGACGAGCGGGCTCGCGCGGCGCGCCCCCCGGCGCTGCACCGCCGCTCCTCCTCCGACCCGCTCTGCACGTCCAACCCGCACGCCGCCGCCGCACTCGCGGCGGACGCCGCCGACGGCTGGTGGCCGGCATCGCTTGCGGCGGCGGCGGACCGACTGTCTCCTCGCGGCGCGACGGCTGTGCTGCGCGAGCCGCGAGCCGCGAGCCGCGTCTCTCCTCACGCCTGCACGCTGTGAGCAGGCGCGATGGAGCTGCTGCAGCGAGCTCGGCTAATCTCGAGCAATCTCAGGTAATCTCGAGCAATCTCAGGCGCGATGGAGCTGCTGCGCGAGCTCGGCTCCTCCGGCGGCAGCGGCGCCTCGCCGCCCCCGCTGCTCGCGCAGGCTGAGCGCACGCGCGTGCCTCATCTGGGCCAATCTCGGCTAATCTCGACTCATCTCGGCTCATCTCGAGCAGGCCGAGTCCAAGCTAGGGCTCGTTGCCATCGCCCTCGCCCTCCTCGCTGCGCCACGCACACGCGCGCCACCCCGCCCACGAGCGCCGCGAGCGGCGGCGGCGGCGGCGGCGTCCGCGGAGGCGGCGGCGGAAGAAGAGTCGTCCGGAGGCTCGGCCGATGCGGCTGTGATTCCGTCCGCCGGCGAGCCGCCGCGGCCTGCGTCGTCGCCTCCTCCAAGTAGGGCGGCGGGTGCAGCCGCGGCGCAGAGCGCGGGCCGGCGCCGCTTCGGGATCAGCCTCTCCGCCTCCTCTTCCGCGGCGGCGGCCGGCAGGAGCGGCGGCGGCGCGGAGGCGAGTGCGAGTGTCGGGGCGCCGGGCGAAGGCGGCGGCGACGCGGGCGGCGACGCGGGAGGTGGCGGCGAGGCGGGCGGCGAGGCGATCTGTGAAGCGACGCTCGAGGAGTTGCGGCGGCGGCTCTCCTTCTACGGCGCACTGGGCGGCGATGAGCGACCGCCTCGCGAGAGTCGCTGAGAATCACCCGAGATTGGCGCGAGATTTAGGATGGCTGAGCGGCGAGCTGCGGCCAGTCTCTGCGCGCGCGCTCGAGACCGCGTGGGGCTCGATGCGCGACCGCGCAGAGCGGCGCGAAGCTCCTTCCCTGTGGACCGGGGTGACGGGGGCGGGTCGCGGGGAGTGAGGGTGTGATCCACCGCCACTCTAGGCGCGAGCTGCTCCTCTGGCTGCCCGAGATGACCCGAGATGACCCAAGATTACGCGAGATTGCGCGAGACTAGGCGCGAGCTGCTCCTCTGGCTGCCGTCGGCGCTGCCCTCGCTCGCCCCTGAGGCGCTCGAGGTCGCATTTGCGACGGTCGCGTTGCGCGAGCTGCAGTGGGAGACGCTCTCCCTCCGCGAGTACGCGGCCTTTGAGGCGCTCTTTCGCCGCTACCACGTCGGCAAGGTGAGGAAGAGGAGCTTCCCCCGATCTCGGCGCATCTCGCCCCGATCTCGGCGCATTTTGGCGCGTCTCGTTGCATCTCGGCGCATCTCGGCGCATCTCGGCGCGTCTCGGCGCGTCTCGGCGCACCTCTGCTCCGTGAGGGAGGGGAGCACGCCACCCCCCCCCTCCTCTCTTCGGGGGAGATCTCATCTCGGCGCATCTCGGCGCATCTCGGCGCGCCTCTGCCCCCCGCAGGGCACCCTCCGCCCGGCAGAGGCCCCTCCCCCCCCTCCGCGCCGCTGGAGGGCCCGCCGCGCGCCCGCCGAGGTCGGCGAGCCGGCCGAGCTCTCGCGGCTCTCACCCGACGTGATGCCGTCGACGCTCGTCGGCATCGACGCTGTGTGGCGCATCGTCGCGAGCGCGCCAGAGAGCACGAGCCGCGCCGCGCTGCCGCTGCTCGTCCAGCTGTACGCCAAGCCAGCCGCGCACCTGGACCTCGCCACCGTGAGGCAAGAGCTGCTCACCTCGCTCTTCCACGCCCTGGCCTCCCTCTCGAACCGCTCGCGCGGCGGCGGCGGCGGCGGGGGCGGGGCAGCGGATCGGGAGCTCCGCGCCTTGCTCCTGCTCGACCTGCTCGACAGCTTCCTCGCCGCGTGTGGCGAGTCGCGCAAGCTCGCACCGCACCGCGCCTCGTGGAGGGGGCTCACGCTCCGCCTGCACGTGTCCGTCGTCACCGAGCCCGCCGACGGCCCGCCGCCGCCCGCGGCGAGCCCTCCTCCTCCTCCTCCGCCGGACCAGCCGCAGCAGGCGCCGGCGCAAGAGGCGCCACTCGATTTCGAGGCGTCCGTGGCTCGCCTTGCCGACGCCCTGGAGGCCGGCGGCGGCGGGAGCGGCGCAGGCGGCGGTGGTGACGGCGGTGTCGGCGGCGGCGGCGGTGGTGTCGGCGGTGGCGTCGGCGGCGCAGGCGGCGGCGGGGGTGTCGGCAGCGGCGGCAACGGCTCTGCGGGCGGTGGGAGCGGCGGCTGCCTCGTGCTGCCGCTCGAGCTGCACACGAATGCGACGCTGGGCGAGCTGCGCAGCGCCCTGAAGCACGAGCTGGTGGGCCGGGGCTTGCCCAAGCCGTCGTACCGGGCGAGGGGCCTCCTCCTCGGCGCGCCCTTACGAGGTTGCGGCGTACAAAGGCCAAGCTATGAATAGGCGATGGACGTCCTCCTCGGCGGCGACGGCGACGGCAGCGGCAGCACGCTCGCCGGGGAAGGCCGCACGCTCGCGGACTGCGGGCTGGGCGAGGTGACGAGCGTGACGCTGCGCATCCGGCCAAAGGCTGCCGTGGGCGAGGGGGGGCGCGGGTACAGCCGCGAGGCGGCGCGGGCCGAGCGGCGCGCCGCGCACCCCGCCGCCCTGATCGCCGCGTCCCGGGCATCGATGGAGGGGCTCCTTGACCTCGTCTCGCGATTCGAGCCCGCGTCCGCCGTGGTGGCCAAGGCGTGGGACTTGCTCATGCGCTTGCCGACCTGCCAGCACAGGCGCGGCCGCTTGTCGGACCCCGCCGCCGTCGACTGGCCCGCCGAGCTCGCGCCCTCCTCCTCCTCGACCGCCGCAGCCGCGCAGCGGCATGGCGCGTCGCCTCTCTGTTGCCTCTACTTCCTCCACCAAGTGCGCGGCCGCCTCATGCCCCCCAACGACCTCGGCGCGGCCGCGGAGCGCGGCGCGGCCGCCGCTGCGTGGCGGTCCGCCTTCATGGAGCACGGATTCGCGCCTGTCTTCGGCGCCTTCGCGGCCATGGCCGCAGTGGACCCGCCCGCCGACAGCACCGCGGCCGGCTTGCGCGCCAACCTTCTCGCGATTGTGCGCGTCGCTCTCGCGGGCTACCTCCGCTCCAACGAAGCGGCGACGACTCGACCCGCAGCCCCCAACGGGGCCCGCCAGCCCGCCAGCCCGCCGCCACTCCGCTGCCCGCCGCCTGACCCGCCCTCGACGCCTCTGTGCGAGCTTAACGGCCTCGCTGCGTCGCCTGGCCGACTCGTGGGCGCGCTGGCCTTGGACTCGGGCGCGGCGGCGGCGGGCGGCTCGAGAGGGTCGCCTCCGCTCGCGCACCCGCCCTCGCCCTCGCCGACGCGCCCCTGCGACGGCCCAATGGCGTCGCCGTTCCGGAGCGGCGATGGCCACGCGGTGGCGCGGCTGCCGGCGCCGCTGCAGTCGGCCCCGCCGCTCTCGGCCCGCTCGTCGGACGAGGCGCTGCACCTCTGGTCCCTCTCGCAGCTCCTGCTCCACATACTCGCTCGCGGGCCCGACGGCGGCTTCGGCGGCGGCGTCGGCGGCGGCTTCGGCGGCGGCTTTGGCCGCCGCAGCAGTGGCGGAGACCGCGGCAGCGACGGCGACTGCGGGTGCGACGACGCGGCGACGCGGCAGGTCGGCCTTGACGCGCTCAAGCTGCTCGACGCCATCTTTTGCCACCACGTGCACATGCTCCTCGACCTGCTCGCGCTGCCTTTGCTGCGCGATGCGCTGCGCGCGGCGCTGCTGGCATCGCCGGACCGCCGCACACGCACGCAGGCGGCGCTGCTGCTGCACCACCTCTGCCTCGCCGAGCCCTCGGGGCTGCCTCTCGCTCTCGCGGCGCTCGAGGCGCTGCTGCCCGCCGCCGAGGAGCACGCCGCCTCGTCGAGCCAGTTCTGGGCGCTCTGGGAGCGGCTCGTCGGCGCGGAGCACAGCCACGGCGGCAGCCTCGCCTTCAGCGCTGACGCCCTCTTGGACCGACTCGTCGCCGACGGCTCGCCGCACCACGAGACCGTCCTCCTCGGCCTGCTCCGCCTCCTCACCACCGCCGCGCGCACCTCCACCGCGTTCGCCCGCCGGCTCTCCCCCTCGTTGCCGGCGCTGCACGCGGCCTTCCTCGTGCCGACGGCGCGCCAGCCTCCGCCGGCCGTGCGCCACGCCGCCGCTCGGCTGCTTCTCCGCGCCGCCGCCGCGTCGGACGCGGCGCTGGCCTCGCTGCTGCCCGCACTCGAGCACGCGCAGCGCGTCGACGCCGCGGCCGGCTGCGGGTGGGGCGTCGACCCGAGCGAGGCGCTGCGGAGAGGGCACGTGGGGCTCGTCAACCAGGGGGCTACCTGCTACATGAACGCCACCCTCCAGGTGCTCCTCCTCGCCCCCCGCCCCCCGCCTCGAACCGAATACTCGCTCACACCGCCAGGTGCCGGATCAGGTCCTCTTCCTCGTCCCCGCCTTCCGCGACGGCATCCTTGCCGCCGAGCCCGCGCCCCGCGCCGAGCGGTCGCCGATCCTGGCAGAGGTGCAGGCGACCTTCGCCTTCCTGCGCGACGGACTCGCGCGCTCGTACGACCCGCTGCCGCTCGTGACGGCGAGCGAGGCGCTCCCGCTCACCTTCGCCGCCACGCAGCAGAACGACGCGGCCGAGTTCCTCGCCCTCCTCTCCGACAACCTCGAGGAGGCTCTGCGCGGGTCGCGGCACGCGTCGCTGCTCCGCAGCTGCTTCGGAGGCACGCTCGTGCAGCAAGTCGTCTGGGAGGAGCCGCCGCCCACGCCGGGCGGTGCGCCGGTGCGCAAGGTGTCGGAGCGCGAGCAGTCCTTCCTCCAGATCGAGCTCGACCTCAAGGGGCACCGATCGATCGAGGAGTCGTTCCGCGCGCTCGTGGACGGAGAGCGGCTCGAGGGCGACAACGCATACGAGCTCGACTCGGGCGGCAAGGTCGCCGCGGTCAAGCGGCTCTGCCTGGGCGAGCTGCCCCCGACGCTCGTGATCCAGCTCAAGCGCTTCGAGTTCGACTACGAGAAGATGGTCAACGTCAAGCTCAACTCGGAGTGCTCCTTCCCGATGCGGCTCGACTGCTCGCCCTTCACGCGGCGCGGTCTCGAGTGCGCGGCGCGCGGCGAGCCGCTGCCTCCCTCGCCCCCCTACGAGCTCGCCGGCGTGGTTGTGCACGCGGGCAGCTCGGGCGGCGGCCACTACTTCTCGTACGCCTGCCCGCGCGACGGGCCGACTGCGGGAAAGTGGTTCGCCTTCAACGACACAAAGGTGACCCGCTTCGACGAGGCGCGCCTGCCACAGCAGTGCTACGGCGGCGGCGCGGCCGCGGCGGCGAGGACCGCCGCGGAGCGAGCGTCCGCCTCCCAGAGCGGCTTCCTCCTGCTGTACCGCCGCGTGGAGTCGTCCCGCCACCGCCGCATTGGCTCCGCCCCGCCAGTCGGGATCGGAGCCGCCGGGTGGAGGGGCGCACCCGCTGCGGCGACGCGCCCGCCCGCCGCAGCGCCGGCCGACGGTCCGACCTCTCAGACGGGCGAGGCTGGACGCGAGGCGGCACGCGGCGCGTCGTCGATGCTGCTGCGTGCCGGCTCGGAGGGAGTGGTGCTTCGGCCTGCTGGCTCGGAGGCAGTCGTGCCTCGGTCTCCGCCGACACCGTCCAAGTTCTCCATGCTGCAGCGCGCGTTCCTCGACTCGGGTGCAGACGGCGGCAGCGGCAGCGCCAAGGGCAGGGAGGGCGAGGAGGGCGCGGGCGGGGTAGCCGCTGGCAGCGCGCAGGCTCGAGCGCAGGCAGGGGGGGGCCCTCCCGCAGGAGAAGGGCGGGCGCCTCTTGCCACGACGCGAGTGCGCGCCGCGAACGAGGCGCTGCTCCGGCGGGAGCACCTGCTCGACCGTGGCTATGCGGCCTTTGTGCGCGCCCTCCTCACCCTCCCCCCGCCCACCTCCGCGGCGCCGCTGCCGCCACCTCCGCCCCTTGCGCCGCTCTCCGCGCCTACGCAGCCGGCGGCGGCTGAGTCGGAGTCTGCCTCTGCGCTTCGCACGCGGCTCCTTGAGTTTGGAGCGCGGTACGCCTTTTCGCACCTCCTCCGCCTCAACGACGCGCGACTGGAGCCGGTGCTGGCCGGCCTCGACGGCTGGCTCGCGACGCTGGCTCGCGCGTGCGGGGCGCAGCCCGCCGCTGCCGCCGCCGTCCTGCACTACGTCGTCGCGCCGCAAGCGGCAGTCGGCGGGAGCGGCGCCGCGGGGCGAGGGGTCGCGGCTCCGCCCTCGAGCCCTCTGCTCGACGCCGTCCTCTGCAGCGGTAGCGCCGCCGGCAGGAGCGCCGTCGCCGACCTCGTCGTCTCGCTCGCCCGAGTAGCGCACGGGGCAGAGGCGGTCGAGCCGCGGCACGGGGCGGAGGGCGAGCCGCGACGGGGAGGCCACATGGCCGCTTTCTTCGACGCGCTCCTCCGCCACGGGGTGGGCCGTGCCGTGCACAGCTGGCGCGACGCCGCCCCCTTTTGGGAGCTGCTCCGCGGGCTACTTTCCTCCGGCGGGCCGCCGCTCACTCGGCTCGCGGAGGAGCGGCGGGGCCAGGAAGCTTCTCGGAACCTGCTCGAAACCTGCTCGGAGCCTCCCTGTAGGATGGCGGCGGAGAAGCGAGGGATCCCGCTGCTCTGCGCCTTCCTCGTCGGCGCGGGGCCGATCCGCGAGGGCGGCGTCCTCCCCAAGGCCGGCGCGGCGCCGGAGAGCGTGCCGGCGGCAGCCGACGCTGCAGACGGGAAGGCGATTGGTGCGTGTGGGCCCAAGGGGGGCATCGGCGACGCAGCTGAAAACGCCAGCGCGGACGCAGAGGCGTTCGGCCTGCCCGAGGCGCTTCGCTCTCTGACACTGCCCCTTCCGGAGCGTGGGTCGCCGCCCCCACCTGCCACCGCGGCGGCACCGCCTGCTGCCCCGGCGGCGGCTCCGTCCGCAGCTCCGTCTGCTACTGCTGCCGCCGCGGCACCCAGCTCCGCGGCGGCAGCAGACGGAGCCGCGGTCCCGGCAGCAGCGACGGTGCGCCGCAGCGCCACCGCGCTCGCGCCTCGCCTCGACTCGTGCCGCGCCCCTAAGGACGGCTCCGCCTCGCTGCTCGAGTGCCTGGCGCTGCTCGTCGAGGCGCACCACCCGCCTCCTCCCCCTCCCGCCGCTCCCGCGTCGCGCCACGCGCCCGCCGCTGCCAGCGCCGCGGCGGCGCCGGCGGCGGCACCGCCAGCCGCCCCCACCGACGTCAGTGGCACCGCAGCGCCGCTGCCTGCTGACGCCGCGGCTTGCCTGACTTGCGCCCCCTTCCTTCGTGCCGCTGCCTCTGCGTGCGCGGGCACGCCCGCCGCGCCCGAGCCGCTCGGCGCCCCGCTCGACGCCCTCGCCCGCGCGGTCCGCCCTCTCTGCGACGAGCGGACCGTCGGCGAGGCCGCGGTCGACACGTCCCTGCGCGTGGCGCGCGAGCGGGTGCCGATCCGGCCAAACCAACACTCGGCGTGTGTTAAGGAGGGTGCTTGGTTGTGATAGGTGCGCGAGCTGGTCCGCGGGCTGCGGCACGAGCCGGAGCGGCTCGCGACCGTGTACGCGCAGCTGCTGCAGCGGCTGCTCGATGTGGAGGATGGGCTGCTCACGCGGCGATGCGAGGCGGCGCTGCAGCGGCCGCACGGCCTCATCGGCTACGTCGTCGACTTCATCGCATCGCCCAGCGCCCTCTCCTCGGCCGGTAGCGCGGAGCCGCCCGCCGCGGGCGCGGGCGCGGGCGCACCAAAGCAGGCGGGCTTCTCCGCCGCCGCCCGCTGCTATCTCGTCATCCGGCTGCTGCTTGAGGTGCTCGGCTCCTCCGCCACCGCCGCCGCTTGGCTCGACGCGGCGCTCTCGGTCGCGGAGGTCGAGGCGATGGCAAAGTGGCTCAAGGCGGCCTCCAACTCGTCGATGCTCGGCCGCTCGGTCGGCCGCGCGCGCCTCCTCTCCTTCTCGCGCCGCCGGCCGTACGAGCGCTCCACCTCTCAGCAGGGGACGCTCGACGACCTGAAGGGGTTCCGGAACCTGAAGCGGAAGACGCTGACAGCAAAGGGCAAGGCGGCGGGCGGCGGGAAGGAAGTGGCGGGGTGAGTCCTGCTCCTGGATTTTGCATTTCAATCTAGTCGGTCTAAAAGTTCCCTCTCGAAGAACGAGCTCAGCAACAGCCAACACCCCACCGCGGGGGGTGCGGTCCTCGCACAGACTGAACACAGATATAAAACTTCAAACCCTTGCCACACTGTGTAGCCAAGCCGTACCCCGCGGGTCGGGCCAGCAGCTATTCATGTATAGGCAGGATTCGACTTTCGAGGCTACGCCACCACGCACGAGGAATGCGCTGCCTCGTCGTGCGGGACGACCACCTGCCACTCATCAGCGGGCGGCGACACCTCGACCGCGGGCGGCGGGCCGCGGCGCGAGGCGGAGGACGACTTTTGCGCGAGCCGCTCGGCCGCAACCATGTAGGCGGCGAGGGCGCGGAGGTGCAGAACGTGGCCGCGAGCCTCGCGCGCCGCGTCCATCTTCTTACGTTTCGCCGCAACGGCGGTGGCGCGATCCGTGGAGCCCGCCTTGGTCGCCCTTGCCACGAGAGCCGCGGCGCGGCGGCCAGAGGCGGCCTGCGCGCAGAGCGCCTTGCGGCCGAGGGAGGCGCTCTTGCGCGCGCGGGAGGCGTGCCGCCGGACGGCAGCCTTGCCCACACGCGCGTTCATCGCCTTGGCCTTTGCGGCGCGGGCGATGATTGCGGAGCGGGCGATAGCGGCGCCGCGCCGCGCCGCCGCCTCGGTGGCCGTCTTGAGCGCCGCCGCCTTGACCTTGCTGGCGGCGAGCGCCGCGTCGACCGCGGCGAGGTCCTTGCGGGCAAAGGCAGCGCGCGCGTTCGCCGTGATGGACTTGCGCGTGGCGAGGTCGGTGGCCGGCGCCAAGGGCGACCGGCGCGTCTTGATCTGGAGCCGATCGATAACCGCTGCCGGCAGCTGCCCCGCCGCCGACCCGTCGCCAGAGGCCACCTCAAACGCCACGGGAGGCTTCGTCTGGCGTGACTGGCGGGAGAGCTGGACGCGGACATCGGCGTCGTTGAGCTTGGCAAAGTGCGAGCGGCGGGCGGCGACGAGCTGCGCCGCGGCGGCGGCCTCCTTGAGCTCGATGGCGGCCTGCACTCGCGACAGCTCGGAACGAGCCTTCTCGATGCGCTGGCCGAGCGTCGACTCGCGGCGCTCGGCCGCGGCCTCAAGGGCGCGCTTGATGCGGAGGGCCTGCTCGAGCTTGGTCGTCTCGACCGCCGCCTTGACGAGCTCTGCGCGCGAGCCCGAGTTCGGCTTGTAGCTCATCGACGCGGTGCGTCGCTCGGCGGCGGCGCCAAACTTGGTCTCGAGCATCATGGCGGAGGCCTGCGCGGCCTCGCGCTGCTGCTCCTTGTGGGCCGCCACGACGGCCAGAGCGCGCTTGAACCAATGCGCATTCTTGGCCTGCGTCGCCGCCATGAGCTTGGATTTGCGCTCCGCCGACTCCTCAACGCGAGCCGAGAGGGAGGCAAGCTTCTCAGCCCGCTCTGCCTCGGCGGCGGTCCGCGCCTTGCGTGCCTCCTCCGCCCTCTGCGTGCGGAGCAGGGCCTTGGACGCGGCCTCGGTGGCCTTGGCCTCGCCGTGGCACTTGTCACGGGACGCGGCGCGGTCGAGGCGGGCCTGCGGGTGGCGGGGCCAGAGCCAGATCAGTGGGGAGCAAGCGGAGGGCGAGAGTGCCGGTGCTCAGCTGGGGAGGGCGCTCAAGCGAGCTCGCCTGCAGCCGCTGCCGCTCCGACTCCTCATGCCGAAGGCGGCGCGCCTTGGCCTCGCGCGCTCGCTCACCCTCGCGCGCGGCGCGCGCCTGGACGGCCTCGATGTGGGCTTTGTAGAGAAGGCCAGACATCTTCTCTGCGCGCGCCAGCTCCTCTGGGGACTTGGCGGTGCGTGGCGTGGAGAGGCTGGCACGCTTGGCTGACACGACTTCGTCCGGCGTGGGGTGCGAGGGCAGGAAGTCGTCAACGGGGATGTCGATGCGGAGGGATACGGGCTGGCGGTGGAAGAGCATGGCGGGCGGAGAGCGACTGGTCAAAGGTCAATGCCTGCGGGGCGGTTAGGACGGTTGCGCTTGAAATAGGCCAAGTTTTGATTGCTGTTTTCGACCGCGCCTGGTTTGATTAGTAATCAAGCAGGAAGAAAAAAATGCGGTGTGTGGATGAACGGACTCACGCCTCGGGCCTCTCTGCGGCCCTCTCCGACTCGGTCTGCTCCCCCGGTCCCACTCCCCCAGTCCGCCCACACCCAGACCGGGCTGAGGGAGGGTGTAGACGATGTAGAGTGTAGAGCGCTGTAGAGTTGTAGAGATGTAGAGCGCTCTGGAGTGCTGTAGAGCTGTAGAGCTCTACATCCGCCGCGGGACGAAGCGCCTGCGTTGTAGAGCGATGTAGAGCGCGATTTTGTTGTAGAGTTTGTTGTAGAGGCTCTACAGCCAAACCGCCGGGAAGGCAGTGACTCAAAGAGGTCGAGTCGCACTAATGGGGTGTCTCTGAGCTTACTGGAGCTCTGATGGACGGCCCTGACTATCCCTGACAAACAGAGAGTCACTCTGACAGCACACAACACCCTATAACTGCGTCATGACCAGCCTGCCATGCGTCGCCGGTGCCGCATTCGTCGCTGTGCTCCTTTAGCAGGCGGTGTGCGAGGACGGTCGCATTTGCGCGAGGCGAGGCGAGCATTGATGCGCGTTGCATGCGCCATGCCTCGCGCCAGCGCGTGCGGGAGCTCCGTGGCTGAGCGGTTGAGTCCAGGCGAGTTGCGCTGGCCACTATCGCTACACCTAGCCGAGCTGACGCGCCGAGGCGCCGCGGCCAGTCGCAGCCGTGAGGCATGCCACAGCAGCAAAGGCACCTCCCACCCATTGGGCGGGCAGACAGAAGGCCAGGGCAGCACTGGCAAGTGCAACGCGCCTCATGTCGGAGAGCGACCGTGCCTCGTTCGCCGCTTATGATGTTGCGGATGTAGAGTTTGTTGTAGAGATTTCACGTTCTAGAGCGCCTCTACATCGCTCTACAACGCAGGCGCTTCGTCCCGCGGCGGATGTAGAGCTCTACAGCTCTACAGCGCTCTACAGCTCTACAGCTCTACAGCGCTCTACACTCTACATCCTCTACACCCTCCCTCAGAGACCGGGCCGCCCCGTGGCCCCGTGGCCGGTGCCTCGCGTGGGTTTATGTGCTGTGTATCGCGCGCCTTGCGGGGGGGGCGCGGAAAAGAGGAACCTCTTAGCGCCATCGCCATGGCGCTGCTTTTTGTGTGCCCTCTGTCAGTATGTCACTGACAGAGTGACAGTAGACAGAGTGACACCTGACACTGTGTGTGGTTTGGATTTTTTGGTGGATGGTCCATTCAGCATTCTGGTGCGGTTCCGGGGTATCCGGGCCTATGGCGTGTTACTGTGTTAGCTGTTATGCCAACTCAAGGCACACCGGGCTCACGCGCGGGGGTGCGGTAGCTGGTAGATCATGGTTCATGCGCGCCGAGCCCGAGGATAGAATGACTCAATGGTCCACAAACGTCGACACACGAGCGCAAAACATTTAAAGACAGGTTCTCTTCACACAACAGCACAACCACGGGCCCGAAATCGCACGACAGCACTCTTCACAGCCGAAAAAGGCATGCCCTGCCAAGCTCCCTGCGCGGGGTAACAGCTGTCGCGCGGCCTACCAAGGCGGGGTTGTCATTTGCTCTAGCAGGCCCGACAGAACGGCAACGGATTCCCCCATGTCGTGTTGCATGACCGCGACGTTGAGCACCGGGTTCCCATTGCGACTGCGCGAGTTCGGGTCTGCTCGGTGCTCCAGCAGGTATTGCACCGTCCGCGCGTGGCCCTGTTGTGCCGCGACCCACAACGGGCTGGACTCCGAGTTGATCCCGCCGCCCGTTTCGATGTTGGCGCCGGCGCGGTGAAGCAGCGCGACCACCTCGACCTAGGGTTAGGGTTAGGGGTAGGGGTAGGGTTAGGGGTTAGGGGTTAGGGGTAGGGGCAGGGTTAGGGTTAGGGTTAGGGTTAGGGTCGACCTGGTCAAACTTGGCTGCGCACCAGAGGGCGGTCCCCTCCCGCCGCCCGCCAGAGTACTCGAGGCGTGCTCCTCGCTCGAGGGCGAGGAGGACGCCATGGATGCAGCCGAGAGCGGCCGCCTGCCACAGCACGGCATCCCAGCCGTCCTCGCAGGCAGCCGCGGCGAGGGTCAGTCGCTCGAACGATCTGCACAGGCTGCGCGCGTCAAGCCGAGTGGCCTCCGGAGTGGCCGCCGCGCACCACCGCCGCACGAGCGCTTCCTCCACTTCCTTGGCGCGAGAGACCGCGCGCCAGGAGGTGGATGCACCCGCAAGCGCATCCAGCGAGCCGACATCAAGCAAGCAGGCGATTTGTAGTGCCAGCTCGTTTGGCATGTCCACGTCGCAAATCGTGGAGACCCCGAGCGCATTGAAAGGCGGCGCAAAGCAGGGCGGCGCCAAGAGTGGACGCAGCGCACGTGCCAGCTCAGGGTCGCACACCTGATTTTGGCACCCGCCTTCGCGCAGGTGAGGCTCGCCGCTCGCCATGAAGGATGCGCCCGGCGTAAAATGGACGCGCCCCTTGCACGCGCTCGGCGTTTTCCACCCTAAAGGATGCGCCCCCTGGCCGCCCTCGCTCGGGCCAGGAAAAAGAAATTTAAAGAAGACAACGCCAGGAAAAAGAAACTGGCGCGACTGTCTCACAGCAGACAGGCTCGACACACGTGCGAACTGGCGCGTGCAAAAAGAAGAAATACAAATGCCTCCTTCTTTTTTCTTTCTCTCTTCCCACACCATAATCCAGAAAATGAACTCGGTGCCACTGCTTTCAATTCCTCTCCCCTCCGGCCCCTATCTCACCTTTCCCCGGCGCTGCCGCCGCCCCTCCTCCGCCCCCCGGGAGGAAAGCACGGAGCGCCTCGGGCGAGGCTGCGTTGGCGAGGCACGCAGACACGAGCAGTGCACCGCCCGCCGCGTCCCAGCCGCTGACGCTCTCTCCGAGAAGGAGCGACGCGAAGAGCGCGGCCCAGAGCGGCTCCGTCGCCAGCAGGACGGACGCCTACGGCCCACCAGCTGGTCAACGATAAGCGATCACAGTTGCGGGGCGGCTCCAGGCGAGACGGCCGCCTCGGCGGAGGCGACGCGGCCGAGTGCGACCGTCTCTCCGATGCGGTTTCCGGCAGTGGTGACCAGGCCCGTCCACGCCACCGCCAGCGCCACGGGCCGGAACTGCTCAGAGGCGAGGAGGCCGGGCAGCGCGTAGCTGGCGCGCTTCGTTTCGTCGAAGAGCCACGCGCCTTCGCCGCCGCCAAAGCCAAGCCCGCCGCCGCCAATCAGGCCGCTCCCGTCAGCTACGGCCCACAGCCCTGCAAAGGCTGCCGAGACGGCGCACTGTGCGGCGGTGATCGGCAGCGCCATGCCCGGCTCGCGCGCCATCAGCCGCTCAGTGAGGAAGAAGGAGGTGCCGAACCCGACCGCCTGGAGGACCGACCATAGGTCGCCCCACCCCGCCGCCCCCAGGCCATCGGCCAGCTCGAGCACGCCCACACCGGCGAGGGCAAGCCCCGCGGACAGCCACACCTGCTCGCGGCAGTGCTGCGCGTGAAGAGGCGCCGCTCACCGCCCCTCCTCCGCCCCACCTATGAGGGCGAGGAGAATGAGAGGAGGAGCCGCGCCTGAGGAGCCTCGCGCAGGCCGAGCCGTCGCCCGTCCACCGCGGCGGCGAGGGCAGGGCAGACGACGACGGTGAGGGCGCCGAGAAAGGCGACGGTGGCCGCGGGTGTGTCGACGAGCGCGGCTGATTGAGTCACGTACCCCAGCGCGGTGAAGCAGCCGCAGCGCATTGCCTGCAGCCGCAGCTCTGGCGCGAGCCGCGGCAGAAAGGGCGAGAGGGCCGCCGCTGCGAGCAGCAGCCGAGCGGACGTGGCGGCCGAGGGCGGCAGAGCCTCGTTCATGATGCGGCCGAGCGGGAAGTTGGTCCCGTACAGCACCGACGAGAAGAGTAGCAGCCCCCGAGGCCAGAGGTACGGGAGCGACAGCCCCGGTGCCGGCGCGCCGGTGTTGGGCTCGCACGAGAGGGTGCCGTCGTCGCCGACGACGCACGTCTCGGGCGCGACGGCCTCGTCGGCGAGCACGCACACGCCCCGTGCACAGACGACGCCAGCCTCGGCGTCGGGCGCTGGAGGATCCTCCAGCTCCACTTGCATGACCGCCAGACGCGACCGGTGCAGCAGCGCCAGCTGTGGGTGCAGCGGAGGCTCGCAAAGGTGGCAAGTGAGCCGGCAATTCAACGGTGCGAGCCCTGCGGTGCCGCCGCTTCGCGTAATGCCGATGGGCATAAGCCACATGGGTGGTCAGTCGCGTTTAATGCCGGGCCTCAGATACCCGCGTCGTGGGTCAAAACAAAAGAATTCGTTGCGCGCGAAACGCGGCGGCGGGTTCTCTCGCACTTTTCCTGCCAGACCGGCGGGCGGTCTCCGCAATCTTCATACATCCATGCGCCCAATTTACCTGCTCCTCTTGGCCGCACTCGAGGCGGCCAGCTTCGCCGCCGGCCCGAATCGAGAGCAGTGTCTGACTACGGATGCCGGCGTGGTTGGGCCCGTGGTTGCTGAGGAGTGCGAGAATCTCAACCCCGTGGCCTGCGCCGCGCAGGAGCGGAATGTCTCGGACTGCGCCGGGCTTGCGAGCCTGAGAGGCTTCTGCAACGAGCCTCGCGTGGCTCATCACTGTTGTCAGGAGTGCGAAGAGGTGGACGGCGAGCGCAGCGGGCGCATGGCAGAAGGTGTCGACAAGACGAGGGAGTGGAAGGTGCGCGCCGGCCGGCTGCGTCCTCCCTCCTCCCTCCATCCCAGCCCGCGCGCCCTCTTCCCCATCACGCGCAGATTGGCGGCGAGTTTGAGTGGATGGTGATGCTAAAGTCTGGAGGCACGTGTTCCGGGATGCTTGTGGACGAGGAGTGGGTGCTTACGGCCGCGCACTGCGTAGCCAACGACGAGGGTGCCCCCCACGGGACCACAGTGCACCTCGCGCACGACGAGACCGGGCCAACGCCAGGGTGGTCGCCTGACTTGGCCGGCACCCCTCTTGACGTGCCGACCAGCAGCGTCCACGTGCACCCCCGATACGGCGAACGGGGTGCACCTGGGACGTGTGAAGCGAGGTGGGGCTGCACAACATGGGCTGATCTCGCCTTGCTGAAGCTGCCCCAGAAAGCGCGCAAGTTGAGGCCGATCGCGCTCAGCAATAACCCGACGACGTCTGGCATCAGCGTGGCTGGATTTGGAGCGGTAATGCCCGCCCCCTGTTTCGACCGCCCACGCCCCCACCCGCTCACACCTTGACGCGCGCCACAGGACGAGTACCATCAGAATGCCGGGTGGAATCTGCGCACCAATCAAGCGCGTTCAGTCAACACGGTTGGCCCAATCGTATTCCACTCAGCGGGTTACATGGAGACCCATATGTCGTCGGGTTCCCATCTGCAAGCCGATCCCCAAACTGACGGTTCCATGTGCGGCGGCGACTCTGGCGGCGCCTACTTCATCACAAACGATTGTGGGTGGCCCGAGCTGGTCGGCGTGCACACAGCGAGTGATTCCGAAGACTGCAAAACAGGCAAAACCAACTGGGCAGATAACCTCCGTCACAGCGACTTCAAGAGCTGGATCTGCTCCACCACATCCAATAAGCTGGCCTACTGCACGGACTCGGGCGCTTGCACGCCAAGGCCGGACAAGTTGGAGGGCTTTGCACATGGCACTTGTTGCACGGTGCCCACCCTCCGCACCGTTCCTCACATCCATCCTTTTGCACTCTCCACCCTTGTCCCTCCGCTATCCCGACCTTACACCCACCTAAATGCACACATCAGATGGTCGTGGCCGGCATTAACAGCAAGATGACCTCGTGCGCGTACTGCGAGAGCTCCGACATCTCCGTGTCGCTTATCGGTGGCATAAAGGCAGGCGACCACACAGGCAATGGCTGTTACTGTGAGACTATGTATGTCTGTGGCGCTGGGCATAGCGGCTGCTCCTCCTCGTGCCTTCCTGGCGACGCACTGGTCACCGCAATCATTGGCGAGGCTGTTCCTGGAGCTGTGCTTCCCATCTCGGACGTGCCCCATGGAGCAAAGGTCCTCACAACCGGCGGCTTCTCGCCGATCTACCTGTACGGCCACTCTGACAGCGAGGCCGTGTCGCCAATGCATCGCATCGAGACCGACTCGGGTAGTGCCCCCCCCCCCCCCCCTTTCCATCTACCAATTCCTTCTCCCATAACTTCCCGAGACGCCTGCTCCCAAGACGCCTGCTCCCGAGACGCCTGCTCCCCCAAACTCGCACTATCGTCGTTCCCGCGGTGCAGGCCACGCAGTTGAGCTTTCAGCCCAGCACTTCATCGAGGCGGACGACGAGCACATCTTAGCCAAAGACGTCCAAGCCGGCATGCGCATGTCGTTGTCTGACTCCGCAGGGGCTCTCACTCACGTGACAGTCAGCCGTGTCATGTCCGTGATGAAGCAGGGCCTCTACTCCCCCTTTACGATGCACGGTGATATTGTCGTCGCAAGCAGGGCCAACTCGAGCGCCGGCATCGTCGTCTCGGATCAATCCGAATGGTGCGCCCAGATTGAGATTTTGGAGAATCTCAGACAGAGGTGATGCGCGAGCACAACTTGGATATGGTGATTTCACTTGTCCCCACCCCTCCCCTAGGTTCGCCGAGGGGCACATGCCGACGAGGTTTATCCCAGCACTCTACCACGCTTTGCTCGCTCCGGTCAGGGCGCTCTTTGTACTCAGCCCGGCGTGGGTCGGCCGCTTCCATGCGGTCACCACAGGCATTCACAACGTTTTCACAGAGAGCTCGTTCGTCCACTGCACCAACATTTGTTCGCCTACTTGGCAGGCGCCACTGGCACAATCCGTGGCAAGGCACTGAACGAGGCAGGCGCGTGGCAAGTTGTAAAGGACGCCATCGCCAGCGGCCCCTGGTGGGCTGACTGAGAAGATAATTCACCCCCCATCAATACAAAACGGAGCTTGCGTGCCGAGGCGAGACGACGGCGGCCTCGCCGCACTGGATGAGAAGCGGATGTGTTTAGCGCAACGACGTGTTCGAGGTGACGAGGGAGGAAGTTTGGGGGCGCGACCGTGGAGATCTCCAGTACCCGACGGCGCTAAATACCGCTGCTGCACGTAAAGCCGACACCGCTGCCACGTCGTCGGCTTCACCTCGTCCATTGCCTCACCGTCTAACGTGTGAAACGACAGCTCGGCGCACTTGCAGAACGCGCTACGGCTCTCTAGACGACGACGAGCGAGAGAACTGAGAAGTGAGAAGCAACGTACCGTGGGGGTCCGTGTGTGCAACTCCAAGCCGCACAAGCGGCCCCGCGAGCCCGAGTGCCGAGACCCGCGAGACGGCCCGCGCTGCCGCGCACACCCGCCACGACATGTGTGCACACAGACTGTGCACTATCCTTCTTCAGATACATGAGATAATTACGAAAACACGACCCAGGTGAAGAGACCAAGAGTGGACTCACGACGCGGGCTGCAGCCTGCCCCGGAGCGACTGCTGCAGACTCACGCTCACCACGGCGATCGGAGTGAGGCTCTCTACGACGGCGACGTCGGATGCGTCGCGCGGCGGCGGCGCCGTCCCTGGCGTCTTGCACCTTGGCGCGGGGCACTCGAAGCCGAGCGAGGCTCCTTCGAGGAGGCAGGGGACCGGCTCGCAGAGGGCTTGCGCCTCGCTGCTCGGGCTGGAGGCCCACGCGGTGAGAAGAAAGCCGGCGGTGCCTGCATCTTCGTCGGGAGGCACAAAGATGGCGCGCGCCTGCACCGACCGCGACGTCGGCACGGCAGAGGTCTGCGACGACGCCGTGAAGAGCGTCTCGCGCAGCTCGAAGCGGAGCTCCTCGTCCGAGACAGCCTCGGCCCAGACGAGCTGCGAGCGCGGCTGCGCAATTTCGCCGCGCGGGTCGCCGTCTCGCCGCCGCACGAGGAGCGACGCGACGTACGACGGCTTGCCGAGCTCACGCAGCCGCGAGAGCGAACCCGACTCGTACGCCGTCGGGTCGCCAGACTCGAGTACGAGCCGGTCGGCCCTCGTCCGGGTGACCGCCGCGGTCTTGCCGGCCGGGTAGTCGGCAGCAACGAAGACCAAGTCGGCGACCTGCGCACGCCCACCCTTTGCGGAGTAGTAGCTACTCGGCACACGCAGCGAGTAGCCATCGCCAACCACAGCCCTAGTACCTTCGTCGGGCCCGTCCGCTTCTGCGGCTTGGGCCAAATGCGGCAGCGCGATCGCGCCGCTGCCGGCGAGCACACTGCGGCGCGAGAGCGTGGCGGCAGACGCGAATAGAGCGCTGAGCATTGAGCGCAAAACCGCGGGCGAAACGCAAACGGCGGGTTCACTGGGTGCGGCCGCCGGGGAGTACGGTATGTCAGTACAAGGTAGAGAGAAAAAGAACGCCGCTATACACCGAAGGGAGAGTGCAGGCGTGCTCCTGCGCGGCACCTTCTTTTGTGGTCGGCACCTTCCCCTGCGTTGGCTGCTGCCCTTCACAGCCTCATCTTCCGCCTTTCGGTACTCGCAGTACTTCTTCACTGCGCCGTTCAGCTGCGCCTTGCCGCAGTTCTCGTACAGCTCCTCAAGCGTGTATCGGCAAAGCCGTCGTCATGCTTGTCCTCTTTGAACGTGCCGCGTGTGGGGTAGCAAATGGTGTTGTCGGCAGCAGCCAGCCTGTTCCCTGTTGCGCCGCTTCTTTCCGATCAGTTGATCGGGGTCGCAAAAGCGCATGCCGAGCACCGCCTCAATCTTGTAGCAGAATGTCGGCACGACCGCGTCGTCCGCACCGCCACACAGCCACCTGCCAGCCGCGCCTTTGGGTAATCTATCAATGACATTAAAAAGGCTTGTCGCTGTTTCTCTTGAGCACTTGAGCACCGGGGATCACGGTTCACGGACTCGGGGTGGGGGCTAGTTGGTTCACGGTTCACGGTTCACGATTCCGGCGTGAACTGAGAGGGCTGGCCAAGACTAAGGCGCTCAAAGTCCTCAGTCTGACGAATGCCAGGACCATCATCCTCGGCAGCCAGAAATAAATGTGTGTCAGTAATAGCTGCCTGAAACTCTAGAAACTCTAGAAATACGTTGTAGCGCCTGCTTTCGGCCGTGTTGGCGGGCACATCCACGTTTTCGTCGCCCGTCTATCGCAATGCGCCACCAGGAGCGGACGCGTCAGTTCGAGAAGCAGACATTCGACGTGACCTCCCAGTGCGAGAGGTACTGCCGCTGCATCTGCTGCCCGTGCGTCGGCCTCTCCACTACAAAGCTCGAACTCGGCCCAGACGAGGCGGTCCTCACCAAGCACGACTGCTGCAACCACATTGTGCAGAAGCGGCCGTATGCGCAGCTGGGCTCGGTGGACTCGCACCACGAGTGCGGCATCTGCTGGAGCGTCGGATCGGATCTCACCGGCCGCGACGGCAGGCTGATGCCTGGCTGGGGCTGCAACGCGCCGCTGGTGCGCGAGATAGTCGAGGAGCTGCAGGAGCGCAAGCTTGGACGCGGCAACGTGGCGCAGATGAGGTCACACGAGGACCTGGCCGCGTCGGTTGCCCACGCCCACGCCAAACTCGACACAATCCTCTCTCATCTGGGTCTTGAGCCTCCAGCGCCGCCGCCGCCGCCGCCCGCAGAGGCGCTTGCAGTCGCACCGCTGCCAGCTGCAGAGGAGATGATCCGCATGTAGCCGCAACATTGGAGAACCAGCAGACTGCCTTACCGGTTCTGGCCCTCAACGGGCTCTCCGCCACCGTTGCTTTTGCTGAGCAGTGTGATGACTTGCTTGTGTGTTGTGTCTTGTGAGTGCTGATCCGACATATGACTTATGAGTGCGAAGAACGGCGAAGACCGAAGTGGGTGTCGTCTCTTCGTGACGTCTGACGACATCGACCATGTCGTCCTTTCACAGCGCGCGCCCAGCGCGCGCTCCGGAGCTCCACCTCCAGCCTGCACAGGCTCTCCGACTCTCCGCTCAGGGTCAAGTCTCAAGACAAGTGAGTGGTGACACTGTGGGTGTCTGTTTGACGTGCCGACGTAAAAAGAAATACGGGGGCGGGGGTCATTTAAGGTTTAGCTTTTAACGGTACGAAGGGTAAGAGCAGAGCGACAGCCGCGCCGCGATACAGAGACACGTACTCGAGGCGACAAAAGAGAGAGCCTCGCTGTACGAATCGCCGTCTTCACACCCTAGCCTAGCCCCCAGCTCGCGTCACCTAACGCTCCGCAATATTCAGTCCCATTTGCCCAGACATGCCCCAGCCCCTCACGCTAGCGGCGGCGGCGGAGGCGGTTGGCCTTGTCGCGGATCTGCGCGGCCGTCGCAGCGTCAAAGTCGGATGAAAGCCAGGCCTCAGCCTCCTCGGCGTCGGCCTTCGCGGTCGGCGAGGCGTCGTCGTCGTCCTGCACGTCAAAGATGGCGTCCTCGAGGAGGCGCTTGGCCTCTGCCTTCTCGCGCAGCACCTTGTCTGCGGCGGCGTTCACCCTCGCCTCCTCGACCATGCGCGCGACGTCCTCGTTGGAGTTGCGCGACGCGGTGGCGGCGATGGTGGTCGAGGCCTTGGCGCCGGTCGTCTTGTCCTTGGCCGAGACGGAGAGGATGCCGTTCGCGTCGATGTCCATCGAGACCTCGATCTGCGGCTCGCCGCGCTTGGCGCGCTCGATGCCGGTGATGGTGAACTCGCCCAGCTTTGAGCAGGCGTCGGTCGAGGCGCGCTCGCCCTCGAAGATGGCGACGTCGATGGCGGTCTGCCCGTCCTCCTCGGTGGTGAAGGTGTCGACGCGGCGGCACGGGATGGGCGTGTTGCGCTTGACGATCGTGGCCATCACCTTGCCCGTCGTCTCGATGCCGAGCGAGAGCGGCACCACGTCCATCAGCACGAGCCCGGTCGAGGCCTTGGCGAGGGCACCGCCCGCCGCCGCGAGGCCGCCCGAGAGGACGCCCGCCTGCACCGCCGCGCCGTACGCGACCGCCTCGTCGGGGTTGATGGACGAGCAGAGCTGCTTGCCGCCGAAGTAGTCGGAGAGCAGCGAGCGGATCTTTGGCACTCGGGTCGAGCCGCCGACCAGCACGACCTCGTCGATCTCCTCCTTGGCGAGTCCGGAGTCCTTGAGCACCTTCTTGACGGTGTCGATGCACGAGCTGAAGAAGGCCGCGTTGATCGACTCGAACTTGGCGCGGCTCAGCGGCACCTTGAGGTCGTGCCCGTCCGAGAAGGCCTCGATCTCGACCTCGGCCGTCGTCTGCGAGGAGAGGTGCCGCTTCGCCCTCTCCGCGGCGGCGATGAGGCGCCGCCGGCCGCGCGCGTCGATCGCGACGCCCGGGTGCGACTTGAGGAACTGCTGCTCCAGCCACTTGGTCGTGGCTGCGTCGAAGTCCTCCCCGCCCAGCCGCGTGTCGCCGCCCGTCGCCTTGACCTCGAAGATGCCGCCCTCCATCGCGAGGACAGACACGTCGAAGGTGCCTGCGGAGAGCGCGCGAGTGTCGCGAGGGCGGAGCCGGCCACCTCTCGGCCACATCTCGGCCGCATCTCGGCCGCATCTCGGCCTCATCGCATCTTGGCCGCATCTCGGCTAGGTCGTGCCGCCGCCCAAGTCGAAGATGAGCACGTTGCGCTCCGCCTTGCCCCCCCTGGCCTTGTCGAGGCCATACGCGATCGCGGCGGCGGTCGGCTCGTTGATGATGCGCAGAACCTACACGCGAGCGGCCGTGGGGGCGTCGGCGCCGAAACCTGGATGGCGGTCGCTCGCTGGCGGTCCGAGAGAGCACGTCGAGCCCAGCGATGGTGCCTGCGTCCTTGGTCGCCTGGCGCTGGGCGTCGTTGAAGTGGGCGGGGACGGTGATGACGGCGCGCTTGACGGCCTGCCCGAGGAACGCCTCCGCGTCCGCCTTGAGCTGCTCCAGCACCATGGCGCTGATCTGCTCTGGCGCAAACGAGCGCTTCTCACCGCAAACCTCGACCGCGATCATCGGCTTGCCGGACGGGCCCTCCTCCACGCGGCACGAGAGGTGCTTCGCGTCGGCCTGCACGGCGCTCTCCGAGAAGGCGCGCCCGATGAGCCGCTTCGCGTCGTTGACGGTGTTGCCTGGGTTGGACGCCGCCTGGTTTTTGGCGGCGTCGCCGACCAGCCGCGTGCCGTCCTCCTTGGCAAACGCGACCCACGACGCCGTCGTGTGGGCGCCGTTGGAGTTGGGGATCATCTCGACGCGGCCGGCGCCGGGACGGACGACCGAGACGGCCGAGTACGTCGTCCCCAGATCGATGCCAACCACCACGTCGTCGCCGTCACCGCCGCCAGCCGCCGGCTCAGGCACCGTCGTCGGCTGCTGCTGCTGCTGCTGCTGCGGCTGCGGAGGCGTCGCCGCTGCAGCGGGCCCGAGCGGCGTGCCCTCGGGCGTGGACGAGGAGAGCTTGATCCCATCGATGAGCGCCGCCGACGTCGGATCGTGAGCAAGGCCCGCTGCAAAGGCCTTGACCGCTTCGGCGTGCCGTCCAGCAGCCGCGAGGGCGTTGCCGAGGCGGGCGTGTCCCTTGGCCCAGGCTGGCTTCTGCTCGATGGCGCGCCGCGCATCGGCCTCTGCAGACTCGGCGTCGCCGAGATGGAGGTTGCACAGCGAGCGGTTGGAGAAGTAGAGGTGCAGCTCGTCCGGAGCACGGTCAATGGCGGCTGAGAAGGCGGACCGCGCGTCCTCGTACTTGCCCTCCTTGACGAGTGCGTTACCCTTGGCCTTGAGCTCGGCCGGAGTGAGCTCGATGGAGGCGTGAACGTCGTACTCAGCGCCCATTACTGGCTGTCTCAGGTGTGCGCGAGTCCACGTAGACTCCAGCGCGCGTGCCGGGAGCGTCGTTTTCTTTCTTGCGGATTTCTTGAGTTTTTCGAATTTTTCGAAATGACGCAGTGTGTCTTGTGAGCCTGTTTGTGTCTGTGTGTCGCTCGTGCGTGTCGTCATCATCTGTCTCGCGTCCACCCATACCGCGTTGGTGTCCAGTCCGAGCCTGGCTGTTCTTCACCTTCCTACCTAACCTAACCTAACGCAGTGAAGAAGAAGCAGAGGGGACTCAGCAATGTTGGTGTTTGTGTGTGTCCGGGGGTCACGCGACAAAACGCACGCACACACATGCTACGATCGATCGACATGTCACATGAGTACGGGGTGTGGACCCTGTGCTGAGTCAGCCTTTCGAGTTCGCGAACTGGCGAACTGCATCGGTTCGGTCGTTCGCCCTTGGGTGCCCGAACCCTCGAACTAGAACTCGAGCATTTTCTTTTCTCCTCCCCCCCCCCCGACCCGCTTCACACCCGCAGGCCGAGGAATACCAGGGAAGTTCGTCTGAACTGCGAACCGCGAACGAACCGCAATATTTATTTTTTGGCTCTGCAGGCCTGTATAGTCCCTGGTTGCCTACTAGAGGCCGAGTACGCCTGGACGCCTCGGGGAGCCCCCGTCGCCCCCATTCTACTCGCCAGTCAGCACGCACGGCGCCCAGGCACCACAGCTCAGGGCGGCCCTGCTCACAGCGCCTTCATGGAGTACATGCGCAAAAACCACGCCAAGTACGCGAAGGCGTGAGCAAGGAGGCGTCGAGGCTGAGCGAGTCCCCCCCCCCTCCCCCTTTTCAATGGTCCCCGGGCGGCGGCGCACCGGGGTAGTCGCGCCCGCAGTCCGCTAGATTGCAGACTGTCGCGGACCATCAGACCTGTGCTAGTGCCGCCTGTGTGTATGGGCACCTGAGATTGAGGGCCAGACCGCGTCCGCACGCGCGCACGTGGCGCAGTTGCGCGAGTTCGTTCGTTCAGCGCGGCTCGTGGCTGAACTGCACGCCGAACGAACGAAATTTCGGCGATGATTTTCTTTTTTCCTAAGTTCGAACGGAGTTCACGAACGTTCGTTCGTTTTCGCAGTTCGCGCCTTCGCCCTTTCCACAGCCGTGGCGGTCCGTTCAGTTTGAGGTTCGGGCTGGGCCCCGCCGGCTGGGCTGCGTTCGTTGGAGTTCGGAGTTCACGAAATCCGCGCGAACTCGAAAGGCTGCCCTCAGTTGCACAGGGATTGTGCGCCGGGCCCTCCTGCTCGGCTCCAGCCAGTAGACAAGTGTTACCATCAACAGAGTAGAAGAATCTGACCTCGGGGCCGATGTGACCAAGCGCTGGGGTAGCGTCTAGCGACTGCGTGGTTCTGCCTCACTCCTCACACCCATGGTCTCACAGCTGCAACCGTTTTTCTTCTTTCGGCGTTTTCTTTGATTCATGATTGTTCAGAAAATTCTAAATATGCACTCGTGCATGCACATGTTGTGCATGTGCATGTGCATGTGCATGTGTCATGTGCATGTGCATGCGCATGTCGCATGTGCATGCACGTGCACATGTGCCTGTGTGATCCGTCACATGGACATGGGGCTACGTACTCATACAGGCGCGGCCCGCGGCTGCTTCGACCCCCTTCCCCGGCCAGGCGCGGCCCGCGGCTGCTTCGACCCCCTCCCCCGGCCAGGCGCCGCCGGCGGCTGCTCCAAGCTACGACTCCTCTCGTTTCGCCGGAGAGCGGCGTCGAGACTCTTCTTCAGCTGATGCGTGCCCGCCATCTCGGCGCAGATCGAGCGCATCTCGCAGAAGCGGCACGGCTGGCCGTCGCGGGTCTTGCTGCAGGGCTGCGGCATCGGCGCCGAGCAAAGGCGGACGGCCCCGAGTGCGGCTGCGATCTCCGTCTCGCGCCCTTCGAGCCCTTCCCAAACTGCTGTGGGGCTTGCTGTGCGCACGAAGCGCATGAGGCTGCAAATGACGTCGTTGGCGCCAAGGAAACCTGGATCGCGTCGCGTCTCGTTGAGCAGCCGGAGGAGCTTGCCGAAGCCGTCCCCTTTCAGGGCGTCTCGGACCCGGCCGAGGCGCAGAATTGGATCAACTTCGCCGCAAATCGCGTCGACGTCCTTTTTGAACGCCTCCACCAAGGGGCGTACGGGACCCTGCTGATACGCCCTGCGCCTCTCGAGCGCCGCCTCCTGCTCCGTCTCCGCCTGCTTCCGCGACCTTTCCGCCTCCAGATGGCCCTCCAGCGTGTCGTACCCCGGCGGGAGGCCATCGTAGAGTCCAAGAAGCGGTCCCGGCTCGGGCAGCAGCTCGCCGTCGCCGCCGTCGCTGTCGCCCGCGCCGCCGCCTCCCAGGCCGCCGCCACCCGCCCCTCCGCCGCCGCCTCCGTCGCTCTCGCCCGCGCCGCCGCCTCCCACGCCGCCGCCTCCCGCCCGCGAGGCCGAGCGGTCTGCGGCGTGCACGGGCTCACGTGACGTGGGGACCTTGCGAGCAATCACGCGGCGCGGCTCGTCATCGTCGTCGTCCGACGACCAGCGCCACCTCTTGCGACGTGCCCTCCGCGGCGTGCCCTCCCCATCGTCGCTAGAAGACTCGGAGGATGGCGCGGGGACGTTGATGATGCGGTACTCCGAGCCATTCCCCGGCAGCTGCACACACGCGTCGACCGGCACCAGCCACGCCTCGTCGAAGAGCGACGTGGAAGAGGCTTCCGCGAAGAGGCTCTGCGGGAGCACGATGACGCCGGGGCCCCTGCGCTGCTCCAGGAAGCCCGACAGCGCCGCTCGCCAGTCCCAGCGGAAGGACGGCTCGGCGTCGCACTCGGGCAAGTCGGACTCGTCCAACCGGATGAAGACGCCCTGCTGGAAGGACCGCGGGTCATCCAGCAGCGCATGCGGCCTCGTGAACTGCACGTCCGTGCCAGCCAGCGCCGCCGGGCGATAGCCCCAAGGATGGATCGCCCGCAGAAGCGGGAAGGTGCCACTGACGTGGATCAACGAGTCGGGAGCGAAGCTGCTCATCGCCTCGCCAATCCTCGCGGCCAGGCCGTCCGGCTCGCGCTCGCGCTCGCACGAGCCGGACCGGTAGCCCAGGTGGTTGCACTTGACAACAACCTCGCCAGCGGCGATGAGCCGCTGCGCAAAGTCGGAGTCCTCTGCGCGCTCCGCTAGCGGGTGGTACTGCGTCGGCGCGTCGGTGCGCACGCTGACGACGACGGCTGGTGTCGACGTCAGCCCCGTGGACGAGGTGGAAACGGGGTCCTTGCTCGGGGAGCGCGTCGCGTTGTGCGCGTGACAGCCGACGAGCGCGGGCTGGCCGGCGAGAGGCTTGAGGAGGCCCGCGGCCAGAGCGTTGAGCGTAATGGGCTCGTCGTTGTCTCCCGCAGGGTCAAGCTTGAGGAGGCCCGTCACGTCGTCGTCCAGCATCAAGAAGCGCTCGAAGAACGCGCGAGTCGAGGAGCCGGAGCTGCGTCGTCGAACCTCCACGCAGAACGCCTTGACCCAGAAGCGGGCATCTCCGACATTCCCGTCGTCGGTCGGCAGAACGCACAGCACTAGCTGCGGGAAGCGGAGGCGGTACTCGGTTACCTGGCGAGGCTTGACAAAGACGATGTGCAGATGGGACGTGCCGCACTCCACGAACTGCGAGTAGTTTTGCCGAGCGGTGTCAGGCTTGTCGTCGCCGCCGGAGGGCACGCAGATCGGCTGGCCGATGCCGTTTGCGAGGCAGCGGGCCAGGAAGGACTCGCCAAAACAGAAGCTGCCGCCATCCGCTACGCTGCCAAAAACGACGCCGCCGACGCCCGGGTCGAACTCAAACGTCCCGTCCTCGATGTAGGATTCAGGCACGAGGAGGCGGAGGCCCACGGCGCGGCCGCGCTGCACAGACTCGATCGCCCCAAAGGAGCCGCAGAGCGCCCGCACGTCGCTCCCGAAGGCGAGAGTCAGCTCTCGGTCCTGCTCGACGCTACCGCTCCCGCTGCTCCCTGGGAGCGTCGTGTACGGGTGCGAGGCGCCGCCAGCGCCGCCCGCGCCGCCCACGCCACCCGCTTGCTGCTGCCGCCCCTCCACATAGAGCATCGTCGATCCGTCCAAAGACCCTCCACTGCCGCCGCCGCCGCCGTCGCCGCCGCCGCCGCCGCCGCCGCCGCCGCCGCCGCCGCCGCCGCCGCTGCCGCCGCCGCCGCCTCGGCCCCCGCCACTTCCCCTTCCGCCACCGCCGCCGCCGCCGCCGCCTCTGCTGCCGCTGCTCTCGCCGCCTGCGCTGCTACAGAGGCCCCTGCCGCCTGCGCTCCCCTGCTCGCCCGAGCGCCGACTCGACGCGATGAAGAAGCCGGCGGTGCGACCGGAGGCAGGCGCCAGGAGCCGCCGCCGCATCGGGCTCGGCTCGCCCTTGTCGACGTTCCAGCCGACTAATTTCTCGAACCGCTCCCGAAAGCCCTCATGCGTCATGTTGCCCTTACTGTCGACCCGCCGCGTCATTGGCATCCACCTGCGCTCCCCGGGGCCGGCAGCCTGGCATCGAGTCACGAAGAGCCTCGGGTCCTGGTAGGGGGTGCGCCCAAACTTGTCTCCTCGCAAGAAGATTCCGACCTCTTGGAAGGCCTGCACCGCCATCAGCAGCGGCAGCCGCTTGGACATGGCGTCCTCGAGGGCGGCCTCCTCCAGCTTCGGCATAGCCTCCCGCAGACAGCTGACCAACGTCTGCTCGGCGCGAAGCTCCCGCTCGAGCTGCCGCGGGTCCACGCTCAAGTACACGTGCCCAGACTCGCTCCAGCACACCGTGCCGTCTAGCCACCGGGGTTCAGGGTCTTCCCTGAGAACGAAGCTGAGCCGGTCGCCCGAGCGCAAGCCCCCGTACTGGACCATGTGCTTCAGCTCCGCCCGTCTCTTGTACGGCTCGTCCATCGAGATGGTGGTGCCGGGCTGAGTGGACGGAGGCGGCGTGACCTCAACCTCACGGCCGCTCGTCGTCGTCGCCTTGACAACCTCGCCCGGCCGCCACGACGCGGCCACGTTCACCGTCATTTGGGTCCTCTGTTGCGGCTGCTTTGGCTTCTTTGGCTTCTTTCGCTCGCCGCCGCCGCCTCGGCTCCCTCCGCCGCCGCCGCCGCTCCCTCCGCCACTGCCGCTGCCGCCATGCCCGCCGCCGCCGCCGCCGCCGCTGCCGCCGACGCCGCTCCCTCTACCACCGCCGTCACCACCGCTGCCGCCGCCGCCGCCGCCGCCGCCGCCGCCAGCCGTCGTGTCCGCCGCCTCCCCGATCTGCTGGTCGGCCGCCTGTCTCATGTGTTTGTGCGCCCAGCGACGGGACCAGGACTCGCCGCCGCGTGCCCAAAAAAAGCAGTGGAACTCCAAGTGCTCCAAGTGCTCCAAGCTGCACTTCGTAGCGATAGTCCCCGCTGTAGGACGGTATGCGGCCCGGTCGAACAACCCAAAAGAATACTCACTCTCACACTCCAAGTGCTCCAAGTAAACTCCATGCGAAAAAGGGAAAAGTCCTCACTCTGTTTCCCCTCAGTGTGAAATCCCTAGCAGCGAGCCCCCCCCCTGTCCGCTTCCCCCGCCCCCCCCGCCGCCGCCGCCGCCGCCCCCGTCAACCACCTGCGGCGCCGAGGTGCCGAGCGCCAGCCCAGCCGGCGTGACGTACTCCTAGGAGGCGCAAGGCGCGGCATAGCGTGAGGAGAGACGTCTCTACATGCGCTCTCTCTGCACGCTGGTGTGGGGCCGTCGGTATAAGAGGATGGGTGGGTGGGTGGGGTGGGTGTGCCCGCACTGCTCAGTGCGTGGCGTTGCCGCGCGCGCCTCTCGCTGCGGCAACGCCCCTCGAGGCGCGACGCGGATGCCGCGGGAGGCCAGCCGAGGCGCAGCCGCCCCGCCGGAGTGCTCGGCGAGCTGCAGCCCTTGGGAGGGGGCCTTGCCCGCACGGGTGGAGATGCCGCGCCTGCCGGAAGGTTCCCGGAAGGTTCGGGGAGAGGCCAGGGAGACGCTTCAGGGAAGGTGCAGCCCAGTGGCGTGAAGAGTCCCGATCTCCCAGTGTCTCCCAGCCAGAGCATCTGCGCGTGCCGCGCCGGCGTCTCCACAGCAGCGCCAGCAGCGCCGCCAGCCCAACGGCGAGCAGCGCCAGCGCGATCGCGAGGGGCCTGGCGCCGTTGCCGTCGCTCGGAGGCGAGGGAGGCGAGGGTGCTGGCGGCGCCGACGGCGCGCCGATGCGGCAGTACCCGTCGGCGCTGCAAGCGTTCGCGGCGGTCGGCGGCGCGGGCGGCGCGGTCTCGCCGGGGCATATGCTGAAGAAGGGGTCGGTGCAGTCGGAGGCGTTGAGCTCGAGAGGGCGCTCGCCCGTCGCCAAGTTGCGCAAGTAGCGGCGAGCGTGGTCCGGGAGGGCCGAGGGGACGAGGACGGCGGCGAGGTCGGCGAGAAAGGCGTCTGCGTGCGGCGTTGCCGACTCGTAGAAGTCAGTACCTGTGTGGGACGTGTCGTGGACCTGTCAGGGACATGTCCTGGACATGTCTCGCCCACACTCGGAACAGTCGGAGCCCTGCGTCCCGTCGGCGACGGAGAGGCGGCGGTCGGTGCGGTAGAGGCGCCTGTTCTCGAGGAAGGGGTAGGCCACGCCGTCGGACAGCCGGAAGCGCCGCCGGAAGCTGGCGACACTGTAGCCCGCGTAGTCGCCGCCGTCCGGAAACGACTCGTCCACCTAGGGCAGGGGGGGCATGACGGGGGAGGGAAGGTGGGGGGCGGGGCGGTCGTGGTGTACCTTTAAGGTGTAGTCGAGGCGTTGTGGAGCGTTCTCGTGGTGTTGTAGTCGTGGGGTACAGTAGAGCGAGGGCACGACCCGCCCCACCCCGCTGGCCGTAGCCCCCCGTGAGGGCTGGGCCCTCCTCCCCTCTCCTGGTCGTGGGCAGGAGGGGGCAGGAGGGGGCAGGAGAGGGCAGGAGGGGGTAGGAGGGTGTCGGGGTCCGATCTGTGTCGAGGAAGTGTCCAGGCTACTCCTCCCCACCACGACGTCGAGCGTGCGCAGCACCGCCTCCATCGCGCCCGCCTACGGCGTTGTGGCTCTCCCAGAGGCGTCACGCGAGCCGGGCCCGGGCGGGGCGGGAGTGCGCGCTCTTCATCGCGAGCGCGCGTCGGAGCACAGGTACTTGAAGTCGTGCGGGTCATCGTCCGGGCACGAGGACGCGTCGAGCGGCGTGCCGCCCGCCTTTGCTATCGCCTCGATCAGGTAGGCCGACGCCGAGATGCGCCTGGAGAGGGACACGGGAGAGCATGGTGTGCAGTGAAGCTGTGAACAGTGAGCTGTGAGCGGCGAGCTTGTGTGCAGTGAGCTGAGGCGTGCGAGGTGGGTGGGAGAGTACGCTGGGCGACGGATACTACGTCACGCTTACGACTGCGACGCCGCTAGATGACGTGCCTTGAGTACGTGTTGATACGTTGGTCCGTGCTCGGCAGCTGCTCGGCAGCATCTAGTGGGTAGCACCACTCCGCCGTCGCCGACTCCGTCGCGGGCGCGTGAGTGACGAAGCCGACGCGCGGCGAGAGTGCGCCTGCGGCCGAGAGACAGGGCCGAGCCAGGGCCGAGGCATGAGGCCGAGGAGTGTGGCCGAGAAGTGTGGTCGAGAGGTGTGGCCGAGAGGTGTGGCCGAGAGATGTGGTCGAGAGGTGTGGCCGAGAGATGTGGTCGAGAGGTGTGGCCGAGAGGTGTGGCCGAGAGATGTGTGGCCGGCGCGCGGCGATGGCTCGCCTCGAGCGCGCGCCGCGGCGACGGCGGCGGCGACGGCGTCGAAGCGCGCGGCGGTGCGCTTGAAGACGAGGTTCGCCTCCGCCTCCTTGTTGAAGAAGGCGGCGGCGAACTTGACCCACTCGGCGCGGCCTGAGGCAGACCCGGGTCGAGACCGGGTCAGGACTGTGAGCTCCGGTGTGTTGCCTCTCTGCATCCGTCTCGGCGCGGCCTAGCATCGACTGGTCGGAAGACGCGTCGAATGTGACGTCGACGGCGGTGCCCGTCGACCCGGTGCCTAGTCATGAATACTCACCGATAACTAAGCACTGCTCCTCCTCCTCCTGCTGCTGCTGCTACAGCCCGCTGCCGAATCGGTCGATGAGGTTGAGCTGTGAGCCGCTCCTCGCCACCTGTGATATGGGGAGATCTGGGGAGATAAGGGGAGATGAGGTTGAGCTGTGAGCCGCTCCTCGCCACCTGTGATATGGGGAGATCTGGGGAGATATGGGGAGATGAGGTTGAGCTGTGAGCCGCTCCTCGTCACCTGTGAGCAGCGGGAAACACAAGAAGGCTGGAGAGGGGGCATCCGGCTCGGCGGCGGAGGATCCTGGCAACCTGCTCCGACCAGCTGTGCCCAGAGGTGGTCGCCTGAGGTACGTAGGGCGGGAGTGTGGACCGTGACCTAAAGCCCGAGCCTCACGCTGGCCCACGACTCCTCGTCGCTCCATCGGAGCTCATGGGAACTAACTCCGCTATGCGAGCGGAGCACTCCGGCTTGCTGGCCTCTGTGTGTGGCCGCCCCGTCCCGGCGTCGCCGTGTGTGTGTGCTTGACTCTCTCCCGAGGCTATGTGTGCGATCTGGGCACGGGATTGGGTCTTGGGGACGGGGGAGGTGCTGCCGTGCCGTCGGTGGGATGTGTCTCCGCCAGACTACCCTCCCGCCTGGTCCCACGAAGCGGTGACGCCGCAGCCGACGAGCTTCTGCACGCACGGCGAGGTCACCCACGTCGGATCAACGATGGCCGCCTGAGGTCCGAGGCCGAGCTCCTCGAGGTACGAGACGGCAATCGTCCCGCCCGTCGACCAGCTCGACACCGGCACCTCAAAGACAGTCGCGCCAACTGCATACGCCGGCAGATCTTGCAGCTCGGCGGGCGTGCCGCACTGCCGCAGAACATAGACGTCATGGGAGAGGAGATTGCGCAGGATTTTGTACGTCTTCCGGTACTCGATCTCAAAATCGGTGGCGAACGTCGCGACGGCCGGCGCGAACCCATCGACAACACCGAAGATAGCACGCCTCTCACCGGGATAGTATTCGATGCTCTTGTTGTAGTTGCTGATGCAACCGTGCCCGTCGGTCTCGAATGCGAGCCCTGCGAAAAGCCGCCGAGCCCAGTGCGAATCAAGCATCGTGTCCCGACTGTGATCTCCGCAGATTTCTTCTTTCCACGTTGTATTTTAAGAATTCTTTCCACGAATCGGCACCGTGCCTTGCGGCCGGCGAGATTGCTAGAGGTGCGGAGCGGTCTGCTCTAGCCTCGCACGTTACTCCCTGTCGTCTGTTGTGTTGTTGTGCTCTTTGTTTGTGCCCTCTTGGCGCCATGTGTACTGGGGGGGGCGACAGGGAGGACGAAGGACGTGGCCCTGAGAGCTGAGTTGTGTGTACGCCAACTCAGAGGGTGTGTGGCAGCCAGCTGGCTGTGTGTCTTGTGAGCCTGTTTGTGTCTGTGTGTCGCTCGTGCGTGTCGTCATCATCTCACATCTGTCCCGCGTCCACCCATACCGCGTTGGTGTCCAGTCCGAGCCTGGCTGTTCTTCACCTTCCTACCTAACCTAACCTAACAGGCACTATCTCTCCCGTTTTTTCTTCTTCCAGGCATGCAGCCTCTTCAGCCCACTGCGAATTCGGCTGCTTGCTTCAAGGTAGCGCTCAATCAATCAACAGCGGCAGGAAGGAGCTCAACAAGGCAAGGCTGCCTTGAACGTACGAGTGTCCGAGAGAGCGCGTGTCAAGAGAGGTGTGCGCGGATTTCTTCTAAGTATTCCTACCAAACACAAAGCGGTGATGAGAATTTTCTTCTTCTTTCTACTTTCTCAACTATATGGGGGTAAGTATGTTCTTATTATCGTTAGAGGCTGCGCAGGCCTTCCCCGGTATTTTATTAGTAGATATGAGTAGAGCCGCATTATATGAAAACCCCAACCTGGGTCGGACACCGTCACCGTCGCCTCGATACGGAACTGCTAGCAGACGCTAGAGCAGACGACCAGACGTCACGTACCCGCATGCGTCGTGAGTTGTGGGCGCGCGCAGCAAAACTGACAGATAAGTGCACGTCCCACCCATGCGTGCCGCGGCCCGCGGCCGGTTGACACGAAGTAACGGCAAAGAGTTCGGGCTACACGATCGCCCGGCCGAATGCGTCCAGAACCAGATTGGTGAGCGGGTTCTTTCCAACGACGGCAGTGCGGCACGGGTTCGCGCGATGCAGTCTGCGCGAGGTGACCCGCCGGCAATCGTGCTCACCCCTCAGAGCGTGTCCGCAAAGGCCGCCAGGGCCTTGCGTGCCGGCGCAGGCGCGGGCGCAGGCGCGGGCGCGGCCGGTGCGAGCGCGGCGTGTACTGTTGTAACGTGGGCGGTACGGCGGCTCCAGCTATTGACCATACCCCCCCACCCGTCGAGCGGGCCGCCTCCGGCGGCCAGGACCATACTCCCCCACCCTTTTTGATTGATTGATGGGAAGGCGAAACACAGTCCGACCAACGACTGGGACACCAACGCGGTATGGGTGGACGCTAGACGGGCGATGACGGTCACACAGGAGCGACACACAGAACCACAAGACAGGACACTCAGCCAAACTGACTGCCACACATCCTGAGCGAAGTTCCCTAGTCACCCGCGGCCGGACTCCATCCGGCACGCGTCGCTGGGCGCTCAGAGCCGCGTCCCCTGGCCGGGGGGACCATTCCTTACCCCGTAAAAAGGTCGAATCCTACGGCTTCAAGCTGGAAATCGCCTGTACATGTCCTTCAACCCCGCTGACGAAGGGCACCGCTCTTCGCTCTTCGTGAGCTTCTTCGCCTCCGCCGCCGGCCCGGCAGTCGCGTGCCTCGCCACGAATCCCGCCGACGTCGCTCGTACACGGCTCTCGCTCGACGCCGCGCTGCAGGACGCGTCACAGAAGCAGTACCGCGGCGCGGTGGACTGCATCCGCAAGACGTGGGTGGAGGAGGGCTTCACGGGCGTGCAGCGCGGCCTCCGCTTCGCTATGGTGCGCGAGGCGTCGAAGAACTCCTTCCGCATCGGCCTCTTTGAGCCACTGCTGCAGGCCCAGACCGGCGGCTCCCGCCGCGCCTCATGGAGAGAGCGGCTGCTCGCCGGCGGCACGTCTGGCGGCGTCGCCGCCGTCGTCTGCAACCCACTGGACCGGCTCAAGATCCTGCTGCAGCTCGAGGGCCGCAGTTTCGTTTCCGGCGCCGGCGGTGGCGGAGGAGGAGGAGGAGGAGGAGCGGTGGCGGCCAGCCCGGCCGCGGCTGCGCCGTCGCGCAGCGTCTCGGCCCTCGTGGCCGAGATTGCCTCCCGCGAAGGCGTGCGGGGCTTCTGGAGAGGAACGTCGGTCAACGTGGCGCGCTCGGTCGCCGGGACTGCAGTGCAGCTCGCCGCCAACTCGCGGCTGCAAGAGGCGGCTGCCGCAGCGCGCCTGCCGCGCGGCTCTCGCACCGACGCTGGCTGCGCGATGCTGGCCTCCTTCCTGCTCGTCCTCGTCATCTCGCCGACGGACGTCGTGCGCGCGCGCCTCTACTCGCAGCCGACGGGCGTCGACGGCGCGCCGAGGCTGTACCGTGGCCCTCTCCACTGCGCGTGGCGCATCGTCGCGGCGGAGGGCGTCCAGGGCCTCTTCAAGGGCGTGGTCGCGTCGTGGATGCGTGTCGGCCCGCACACGACCCTCTCGCTGACGCTCGTGGCCGCCATCAAGCGCGCCGCCGCCGCGAGGTGACGGCCGCCGTCCCCGTGGCTCGCGTGACAACCTCGAGTGCTGTTTGTGAATGAACTTCAAACTTGTGATGTGTGTCTCGCTCTGCTCACTATTGAAGGTGTTGCTTGTGGATGTGCCTTGTTGTTGATTACTCACCTGTGGTCTTTGTGGTTCTCTGGTTGTGGCTTGTGCCGTGTGCCGACCTCGCTCTCCAGAAGGCAGTGGCAGAAGTCAGCACAGCTCCGGCCCGAGCGCTGTCCGGCAGTCCTGAGCTGGTGTGCTGGCTGCTGCGAGTGCGACGTGCGACCTGCGTGTCTCCTCACGCACAAGCAGGCCAACGCCAAGCTCCAACGTCCACGGACCACAAAGCTCCGAGAATCTGTATTTTTTCTACAACTACATATTTTGTCGTTGTTATTCTGATGAGGGGCCATTACAAACGCGCCCCCACCACGCGCGACCACAGACGTACGGCGAGACGGATCACGACTCGAGACAGGACGGTGGGTCTGGGCCAACGGCCGGCCCGGCCAAGCGGGCGGCCCGGCGTTCCCGGCGCCGCGCCACTCCCCGCCCTCTATGGCGAGGCGGCGGCGGCAGCGGAGGGATCGGCGCATCGCCGAGGCTCGAGTCTGGGGTGATGTGTGGGGGGGGGGGGGGGGGCAGCTCATCTCGTCGGTCATCTGCCGGTAGGCGCCTCGCTACTCGACCCGTGCGCGCCGTCCTCCATGCGCTTGATCGCAACCACCGCGTCGCCC